AGGAATGGCCAGGAAAGTTGTATTAAAATATTGTCACTGGAGCAATTCTGAGACTGTTACACTGGAGCCCACGGAACAGCACGTGCAGACAGGATTTTCATCCAGACCTCGAGCCTCATGCCAGTGTTATTCCAGTGATTGTTTGGGCAAAGCTATGATACTTTAAAAGACAAACAAAAACAGGTCATAAAAACAACCCCCCAAACCCCAGCTTTACAGTATTTCAAAAGAACAGGATCAATCATTTTAGTAACATAGCTGATCGCAAGTTTAAAAAAAGGTAAAAAGTGAAATGCTGTTTATACATGGGATTGCATTTCAACTGAAGGCACACATTTTTTATTTTCTATATAAATACAGCTAAATTAAGATATTTGAGTCTAAACACTTATTTTAAAATAAAGCTAGACGCTATTCTGAAATATGTTCTTTTTAACTCCTAATATGTAAAGGGATCAAGGTACAGGATACCCTCAAAGACAAATATGCTTTTTTTAGATAGTTCAATACTTTAAAAACAACATATAAACCAGAAATAACTTCAAATTCCAGGCAAACGACTGCAGGAGCTGCATTAGGGATAGATCTAACTAGCAGTGATATTTAGTCACAAAAGCCCAAGAAACAGGGTCCTGTTTTCACCCTGCTTCCTTCCCTCCTCACTGCAGGAGACCATACCAGTCAGGATACAGCATCAGATAAAGCTCTTGTCAGTGGCTTTTCCAAGTATTATTGATCAAGCTCCAGCTGGGGGACTATTTCCATTACTCCACATTCCTCAGGGTGCTATTACCCTGAGCTGTGCCACTAGCAGCCGCTGAGCAGCCCAGTGCTTTGATCGGGTGGCTAATGGCCTGTCCCTTCCCTGAATGAAGCCAGCTCCAGTGCGGGCACTCCCCAACGGGATCACAGAGCGAGGCACCACACCGTGCTTCACATGCTTTGTAACATGCACTGAACACTTCTGAATGATCTATGTTGGAAATTCAGGATACCCAGAACCTGAACTTCATCTGAATGTAATCCTCTTAGTCCTAGTTCTCTTCTCTCGAGTATTTGGCCCAACATAGGTGCATAAGAGGTATCAAAATTCTTACTTAATTGTGGGAGAAATGGGACATCTAACATCACAAGGCAAATCTGAAAATCTGAGCTTCACATTCAGTTCAGAGGAATCCAGGAGCTGCCATAAACGTCTCTCTGGGACAGAAATTGCTTTTGATTAAATAATTTGCCATACAACCTTGAGAGCTGCCATATACATGAAATAAGAATAAAATGCATTGACTACAAAATTAAAGGTATACTTGCTGAGTTGTTTCTAATTTGTTAAACACATTTTTCAAAAATATAACACATCGCAAAGGCAACAATTTTGAACCAGAAATATTTTTTGCCATCTGCTATGCATGTTTTCACCAGTTTTGTTGGTACTGGTTGAATAATTCCACTATGATCAACAAAGGCTAAAACAGCAGCACCTTTCTGAGACGTAACCAGCAAGCTCAAGCTCTTTGTGACTGAGACGCTACTGGTTCTAAAAGCCACACGCAACTGTCAATTTCTTTGGTGTTACAAAAATGTGACTGTCCTATTTTCTGGACAAATGTATCAACTATTCTGTAAGGAAAACAACCTCTCTCCCTTCAACAGAAAAAAACAAATTAAAAAACTGCAGACTGGGCCACCTAAAAAAAGATGTTTTCTCAGCCTTCTAAAAATCAACAGCTGTCCAGCAGCCTGCTAAAGCCAGAGAAGTCTAAAGAAAGCAAGCCACTAATTTTATAACCAACAAAATCATAAACCCAGTGAGACAAAGCTAGACTTTACAACGATCATTTCACATCCAACTCTGCTTTTTTAATCTTTATGTATAACTTCTTAAACAGGAAACAATCCTAGAGATATATGTTGCCCGTAAAACCACCCAGAAGCAGATAGCACTATGCAAATAATAACTACAACGAACTAAAATTACGTCTTTTCAGGCCCATATGTTTGGAAGTCAGTCATTGACCGCAGGCTCTCATTTGCTAAAAAAATTCTGAAGTAGCCTGTTTATTTCTGCAATATACCCAACACACTGTCAGAGCAGACACCACCCACCACCATTAAATGACTCAGAGGTTAAAGGGTTAGAGGGGGAGAAGGAAGGGAAGAGCTTTGAATGTGTCATTTTGTAAGAAGCAATGAGAAATACGGATAAGCTATTTAACTGGCTTTGAGATCCACTGAACAATTAATTCACTTACATTAGGCATGGTTCACCAGATGGTGTGTTTTGTCTTATATTTATTCATAATTTGACCCTTGGGCTGAAATGGCTTGCCTGAAATTCAATTATGTGAATCCTCTGCTCTTCTACACCAGCCTGTTGTGTCTCCAAATTCATAATTTTTGGACATTTCCCATGTAGTTTTCAGATGCAGCCTTCGGTGAGCATGACACTGACCTACAGAGCTCTGCAAGGAATGGTTTTCTTCCAATGCAAGGAAGAACTGACCACTAAGAGCAGTGGCAAAAAACCTATATGGTTCAGAATTTAAAATAATTAATCAAAATTACCAGCTTTGATCTGATTAACCCTTCTGCCCTTTCTTTGCAAAACGGAAAGATCAAGCAGAATATATGGCAATTGTACATCCCTTGCCTGGTTATCGTCATTGTTTGTGACTCAATAAGCAACTTCAGGGAAGCAAAGCAAATGCCCTTTTCCTGAAGTGTTGTTGATGCTTAAACCTAACTCTCAAGGAGGAAGAGCCAGCCAGGGCAGGAGGCTCCTTTGGCTCAGCTGCCCCTAAGCTGCTCCACATGATGAGACTAGCAGTGGGAAAGTCCTCCCCACCTCCTTCCGATCCTTGTCGTCAAAACTGGTCAACACACAGATTGTGCTTCGTCTTGGAGCGACTCCCACAAGAGCACCACTCAGAGAAGTGCCTTGTATCATACTTATCATTTCTGTAACAGCTTAGCAAACCTGGATTACAGTCATTGAGCATCGTGGCTGAGAGGTCTCAAAGAAAGCAATCAATGATCAATCTATGACCACTACTGTTCTCTAGGAACTACTTTTTCACTAAGCAGCCACAATAAAAAGTTTATTTTTTTTGAAAAAGAATAAAATAAATAAATCTTGATAAATTTACTGTTAGATGATCAGCAGCCACGAGGGAAAAAAAAGCCAAAGTCTGCAGATTTTGGTTTGGTCTTGTAATTCAGTTTCTTTTCATCTACCCAACTTGAATATTCAGTGTGCAAGTGCTCTGTAGAACTAAATCTTGCATGATTTCATGAATGTAATATTTATTCAGTTGGTCTGATCCATTAGGCCATTCTGCAATTACCTCCATTGACTCAAATGGATATGCTCCTTGTTTATAGGAAAGGTTTCAGTCAGGCCTCCACTCTGAGCAGGACTGCAATAAGAGCAGCTTAGATATATGGAAGAGTCCACTTCCACCAAGCAGCTGACAAAGGTGTCCTCTAGCAAGTAACATCCTGCAAAAGACACTGTGCAAGGGCACGCGTTGGGAAAACCAGAAAGCTCCAGATGCTTT